CATTTATATTTAACATAGAAAGTGCCATCAGCAGTTTCCAAAATCCTGTAAAACAGGAACATTTACCTTTCGGTGCTAAATGTTTATATCAGACAGCAAGGAAAGCTAATGCTGTCACTTCTTCTGTCAACCACAGTTAAAATTTATTGTATCAATCAGGATTTCATCCAACTACCAGAACAGTGAAGTGTTTATCATTTTACTGAACTGCAGGTCTGTGTAGAAGTGACTGGCTGCTGCCTCTTTATGCACAGCAGAGGGAGGAAAACTACCACTCAAGACCAAACGATGAGCTCACCGATATGGCTGCATTTCTGTTGGAGGTACAGGAGCCAATACAACATCGCGGACGCTAACTAAAGCTCCAAAATCTGTGACCTGTCAAAGTCTTATCAATTCATAATCACTGAAATGGGAATGATAACTAACAGGATTATTTTAGTTTTAAACAAAATGAGCAACCTGTTTATATTAATGACCTTGTTTCTTAAACTAAGGTTCCTAAGACATATTTTCAAACTATCTTTGAAATGGTTTTTCTAACTAACATTTAAATTCTAATTTTCTTTGACAGTTGACCAGCTTACTAGAAACAACAGATCAGCACAAAGAAAGCAAAGCAAAGCAAAGCTCGGAAATGTGTTTTTTATGAGAAGACATAGGGGGGAAAGAGACTTTTGGACAGACAGCAATAATAAAAATCTAACACACAAGCCAAAATATATCCATAGAAACAGATTGATTTCCTAAATAATTGAAGAACATCATTCAATCGTTCCCCACGTCCTTTGGCTGCTGTATGCTGAACACTGGAGCTATGGCAACTGGTAAGCAAAGAATACAAAAGCTGTATGCAGGTACAAAACAGAATCATAGAAGAAATATCCACCACATTTTCAACAGAGTACAACGTCTAGCAGTACTTTACCCTGGTATGTTTTTTTTGGAGTGAGTCCACACATGAATTAGAATTATCACCATCGTCCTACACCTATTTCTAAAAAAACTACAATTGTCCAAAATAGTGTGTAGAAAAACCTGATTAATGTATAAAAATATTCATTTAGGTCAAACACATTGAGCGATGTTTCCATTTGATGTAAGATTTATTTATTCTTTTACATCCCAAATGTAAAACAAAGTCTGCTATAAAACTATACACGGCACCTGTAACCAAACCTTCTCAAGCTACACATATTTTTGGTTGAGTGCAAATCATGTATGATTTTTCCTTTCAGTTATGTTTGATAGTTTCAGGTCTCAATGTATGACACGAACTAAGCTTTCAGAAGACAATGTGCGTTGCAGAGCAAAATATTACCTCCAAGTAAAAACCACGGCATGAAAACACATCCTGCCGTCTGTCTGAGGTTGACAGAGTAATCATGATTTAACACTTGAAATGTTGTATCGTGATCGAGACAGATGTCAAAATGTGAAATGAAAAAGGTCAACATATGAAGGTATCGGTGGTGGGAAGACTCAACCAGTTGTTTTACAAAAAAAAGAAATGCATATCAGCAAAACTCCAAACTACTGAGAAAATTCATGTAAGTGAAAGCAATGATTTCTCACAAGATCCAAACAAATTAATAACACTCTTAAAACCAAACATACTTCATCTCCAACAAGTCAAATCCCAACGAAATTTAATGTCAGCCATTATTCAGTGAAGACACTCAGATAAAGCATTAACAAAAAAGAGGAGAAGGTCCTCTATATTCACATATTACTCCTCAAAGTTAAATACAAACTAAAATCCATTCCTAAATGTACAGAGAAACTCGTGTTTCGTTTCGTGTGTGAACAAAAAGTAGTGTTCACATTGTGACTAACAGTGCAGGTCAGTTCAGTAGGTTTTTGAAGTTACTCCTTCCTCGATTCGGCGTCCTCCTTCATCTTCTGCTCCTGCATGCGACTCCGAGTGGAGCCTGCACACACACACACACAAAAAAACATCGATATGTTTGAGGAACATGCAAACAAAACCAATACAGGCTGCAATGAGAACAGGAGTTGAATTAAGAATATGAAACATCAAAAGTGAAACTGAATATATAAAGCTGGTTTCACTTACTCATCTCTGCAAGCTTCTGTATCAGTGTAGAATCTGCTCCAGATTTGCTGTAATTTAAGAAACAAAGTGAGCTACAACACACTGGTTGGCTGATATTATTATTATTAGTCAATCACAGATATACTGGCATCAGTATGTTGTTTGATAAATGCAGATATAGTGTAGATATAGTGCAGAACATAATGTAGAAAAGATGTTTGGGGGTAATTTGAAAACTATTTTGTCACATAGCTTGTCTAGCAGTTACACAAAATTATCCATCCATCCATGATCTATACACCACTTAATCCTCATTAGGGTCGCGGGGGCGCTGGAGCCTATCCCAGCTGACTTAGGGTGAAGGCTACACAAAATTATGTTTGATTAAAAAGAATATATTACTCATAAAAGCCTTACAAGCCACTGTACAAACCATTTAACTGTGTACAGGCTGATGTAGCTACATAACAAGAAATATAGAAATGTTGTTTCTCTGTGCTCCATTTCCATGGTGACAAAAACAAACTCATTACATTCCTGTTTTCTTGGTTTCTCTAACACACAGTATCAATCCTTATGTGTGTCTTTGATGCTCAACAGCACCATTTGATACCGACCTGCCATCGGCTTCGTCTTGTCCGTCCACATCGAAGCGTAACCTCTTCAGAGGCTTTGGAGTGGCGCCCATATCCAGAGTCCTCTTGAAGGAGCGATCGCTGCTGTTGACCATCTGGTTGATCTTCTGGAAGCGATTGGACAGCTGTAGATGAAGGCAAAACAGAAAAAAAATACAGTGAGTGAAGTAAAACATTACTGGAAATGGGGCCGCTGGCTTTTAATGCAGAGGCACTTACCCCGAAAGATTCACCGATCGATACCAGCATTCTGCAAAAGCAAAAAAAAATATGTCTTGTATTAAAAATTGTGCTACTTCACTTTTCACACTAACCAACAATCAAACAAGCTGTTCAAAGAAAAAAAACGAATATACTGTGCATGTGCAGGACTGACCTGGAGCGAGGTGTCATGATACCCGGGGACATACGTGGGCTTTTCAGAGGGGAGATGTACACGTTGTTGCTCCCAGGAACACGTAGAGGTGAATTAGGGAACTTGTAGGGGCTGCGTGGTATTTGTGGGATCGGAGAGAGTGTAGGTGGCTGGAAAAAAAAAAAAAAAGAACAGCAACAGTGAGACGGAAAAAGAGGCATGCACATTTTCTGACTGTGCGTGTACTGAAATGACTGTCGGTGTCTCACCCTGGTAGAGGCGTACTGCAGGATGTTGGTTTTCAGCTTCTGCATGAACACTTGGTTGTAGAAGACAATGATGGAGTCGTAGTGGGCCTCAGTGATCAGCACGTGCTTAAAGGTCTGCAACATAAAGAGTGAGCGTTCAGAATCATTCTGTCACGATTCAGCGTGGCGTTCGCTCACAGCGGCAAAAGTTCAGCACGAAAGAGGAGTTGTTTTGAATGGAAACTGTCAAAGGTTGCATCACCTCCTGGCTGGTGTTGGGCATGTTCTTGTATGCCGTGACAATGGTCTTGAAGCGCAGATCAACACACTTGACTTTACATATGGCATACATGGCTGACATCATCAACTGGAAGAACAATAGCAGGCGTTTGGGAGAAAAAAAAACAAGAAAAGATGAGTAAGAGAGCTGAGACATGACGGGCGAAAGAAAAATACAAAGCAGCTACTGATCACTTCCTTTGTCTGACTGCACTCTGCATCATCTACATTCATCGGTTGAGGAGCTTCATGAGAAAGCTGAGACTATAATGTTTGATGGACAGATGTGAGAATAACTTGTATTGTCTCGTTTGAGGCTTGGCCAGACCTCTGAACCTGGTGTATGAGCTCTGCCCTTTCAGCTGAAGCATTTCTCTTCTTTATTATCCTTTATTAAAATATAAAAGCCAAATCACGTTGCACTTTGATTGCTTTATTACGGCTCATCCACAATTCTACAATACGAGACATGACAAAGGGATGAGAGACAGAGAAACAGAGTACAATACTGTCAGGCTACCTGGTCGAGGTGACGGTCCTTCATCAGCTCGTACTCGTGCTGCAGAGTGTGCTGGAACAGGGTCCATATTATGGGCTCCAGTTCAGGGTGGGAGGTCAGCAGGTAGGAGCAGAGCATCTTCAGCCTGGTGTAGGCCAGACGGTACACTGCCGAGAGACAGAACCACAGAGATAGTTGGAGCAGCAGCAGCAGCATGAAGGAACAACAGAAATGGAAAGATTTCACCACAGGATAGAAAAAAAGTACAAGGTGTGTCAGAAATGTTCCAGGACTGGTGTCACACAAGACATATTTCAAACCCAAACTACAAACTAGGAGTTTTCCCCTTCAGACGATCAACCAGCACGTCTACAAAGAGATCCTGCAGCGTTTGCTTCGTTCAGGGCGCGAGAAGAGGTGAGAGTTATGGCAGGACAAGTCATGGCTGCTTCACCATGACAATGTGCCTTCTCACAATGCCCTGAGCATCCCACAGTTCCTGGCTGAGAAGAACATTGCTGTGCTGGAGCAACCTCCCTACTGACCCCACCTGGCTCCTCTTCCCCAAGCTCAAGGGGGTCATCAAGGGGATCCGTTTTGAAGATGTGGACGACATCAAGATGGCTGTGACGTCGGAGCTGCGGAGGATCCCGGAAGAATCCTTCCAGGAGTACATGGCGGCGTGGCAGAGAAGGCTGGGAAAGTGTGTTAGACTCCAGGAGGGAAACTCGTAGTTTGTAGTTTGGGTTTGAAATATATCTTTTGTGACACCAGTCCTGAAACTTTTCTGACACACCTCATATTGCGCCTTGTTTCTTATTAAGGAAGGATAAAAGTTTTGGTTCTATATGTCTGAAGTGACTGATCCAAGAACTTGAATGATATCGTACATTTTTTATAGAAGAGACTGAGAGAGTTGGACTTAGAGGGTCGTGGAGTTTGGCTGGCAGCCTGGGAGGAAGCTTGAGAGCTGGGCGTGGCCGGAGACTCAGGAGGCAAGATCCGAGTGCCTGGTCGCATGGGGGACAGATATCTGTACAGGCAACACAGGAACCAGAGGGATGTGTCAGTTACGCCAGCAACATTAAATAATACAATTTCCTCGAACCGCTAAACACAAACCTTAGATGGTTTAGAGTAAAGTAAAAGAAAAGCTTCAAAGGTTTGAACAGGAACGCCCACGGTGAGTGGAAGCCGTGGAAAATAACGCAAAGGTAACGATGCTTATCTATGACTTAATCAAAGGGACGAGCTCTTACGCTTATGACTCACAGTGGTTACACAACAGTTAAAGAAGATCTTGTAGCTGTTGCACACCAGCAGCTGACAGACAGATCGATTGACGGATGACTTACAGGTCGGCCGCGGTGTGGTTGTGCTGCAGCGGTTGGCTGAAGCTGGCTGGTGGCTCCACCTGCTCTGCTGCTCCACTTTCATGCTCCTGCTTCAGAAGCTCAAACAGAGGGGAGCCCTGCGGAGACACAAACACGACTATTTACATTTAATCATGGCCACGTGCATCTAAATCAGACTGAGAATTACTACAGGATGTTTCTTGAACATCACATCAAGGGCTCAAATTTGAACAACAGGGAAAAAAAACTCCTGAAAGCTGATGTATTTGTCAAAACCAAAATCTAATTTAGAAACAAAAAAACTGATGCTAATTACATCAGTTATACCAAATCAGAATTCAAATGATATAAATTCAGTACGCATTTTTTGGTATGTAAAGATACTTGTTAAGATTAATGCAATTTTATCTAATCTGAGAGCACACTTGTCACTCAGAACAGACCTATCTGCAATTTCTAAGGCTGCAACAAAAGATTATTTCATTTACTACACATATAATACTATCAGATATTATATAACCATTACTATATATCAATCTTCAGATTGCTTTCTTGAATAACTGCTTCGCTGTTTTGTCTAGAAAATGCCAAAAACTAACCAAAAATGTGCATCAGCTTTCCTGAGCCTACGGTGGATCTTTCATTGTCTTGTTTTTTCTTTCCAACAACATAAAACCACAAAATATCCAACAACAGTAACAAATATATAAAATGACTGATTCACTTAAAAAATAACAGCTAATTATTTTTTCTCAACTGACTAGTGAATTAATTCCCAAATTGTTTCAGCTCTAGAACACTTAATGATGCAAATAAATCACTTGGATGTCAAGAAATTTATTTGATATCAAATATGTATCATATTGATGACAAATAATAATAAAAATAGTTTTTATATGAGTGTCTCCATATGAAGTATGAGTTATTGTCTCAATAACATCATGAGGAGCCAGTCTGCTTGGTTCTACCCGGATAACAAGTGCAGCATTGACGAGCAAACGGTTATAATTAAACATTAAATTCCCCTTGCAAAAAAAAACAACCTGTTAAATTATACTTTATAGACTGATAAAACATCTGTTCATCATTTTATGTTCACACAATTACAATCCCTGTAATATCCGCTCATGGAAATCCCCTCAAACTAAAACCAAATACTCATTTTATTTAAAAAATATATACCCACTCAGCAAAACCCACATCTACACACACATTCATTCTGAACACTTGTCAAACTAAATCAAGATAAAAAGTAAAAGCATGCAAGTTACGGGTGCACGTGTTTATCAGCATGCACAGCAAGATAAAAATCAGAAATGAGATCATGCAAGGAAGTGGAGGCTGGTTCACCACCCAGCAATTTACACAGTGGCAGCAGGTAGCGACATGTCGTGAGTACATTCTTCACGTCATGCTGGCTACGCCCTGTTGACGCCACCACACATTTCAAAACTACACTTTGGCTGCTTCAACAGCGCTCTGTGACGATATAATGAAAACTAAACTGTTATTAGTTTTAGTAAAATCATTGCTCAAGGTGTCTTTGTTCGCTGTGAAGTTGTGAATTTGTTTTGTACTCCAAACAATCACAGACATAAAATGAACCTTTTATAATATGCCATATACTGTGTTATTAAGCAGAAGATTAGATCTCCGTCCAAGGACACAGAATGCTTTGAATGTTGTGGTGGGTTGATCTAAAGACGCCTACAGCGTGGAGGAAGACGGAAACCTATCATTTAGATAAAAAAACAGAAAAAAACAAAACGTGCAAATGAAAATTCTGGACTATATTTCTCACTGTGATAGCTCAAACGTTACATTATTTAAATTTCATGCATGTGCACAAGCAAAGCAGCAATGGGAGGACTTTGGCCCCCGTGGAGGCTCCTCCCTGTGTTTCAACAATCTGTCACTTCTTTGTGTCAGAGCCTCTGACTTGCTGACTGCTGTGAGGGTTTTTGATTTACGGTCGGGCAGGAGCGGAGTAACGATAACCCCCTGCTCCCCCAGGGCTGCTGCAGGAACACACAGGAAAACAAGAGAAACGAGGAAACACTCGACTGCTCACGGAGTTGAGGAGAAGCACATGACTCTTGTCTCAAAGGGGGATAAACATTTTCTTCCGTGGGAGACATCTGACAAGAAAGGAAACTCCACTTAAAAGAGGATAACTGGACGTGCTGGACATCTTTCACAAAGGGAAAATGGATGTAATGGACTGTGGATGCCAGTAGAGGTATACTGTGGAGTAGCTGTATGATTTTCTTCACTCAACATAAAACCACTCAAACTGAGCACTCTTGAACATTTAGGGACCTTTGATTTTCCCTGTCTGTTGAACATGTTGAATTAACAGCTCACTGCTGAGGAGAACTTTGCCACTGTTTGTTTCCTGCCTGGTGTAAAGATGTATAACCGCAGCGCACCATTCATGTGTGATAAGAGTGATGACTTCAAATACCCTCTCTACAGCGCGGTCTTCAGCCTGGTGTTTATCGTTGGACTTTTCTTCAACATGGTGGCTGCATACATTTTCGGCTGTACGCTGAAGCTGCGCAATGAGACCACGACGTACATGATAAACCTTATTGTTTCAGACTCTTTCTTTGTTCTCAGCCTGCCTTTTCGGATTGCGTACTTTGTCAAACGCGACTGGGTGTTTGGAAGCGTGCTCTGCAAGATCTCTGTGGCCCTGTTCTACACCAACATGTACGGCAGCATCCTCTTCCTCACCTGCATCAGTGTCGACCGTTTTCTGGCCATTGTGTACCCGTTTCGGTCCCAGAAAATACGCAGCAAAAGGAACGCCAAACTGGCCTGTGTGGCGGTGTGGGTGATGGTTCTTTCTGGAAGTATACCCACGGGGTTCCTTTTGGACACCACTTCACCAAACAATACAAACTCTTCCAACAATTATTGCTTTGAAAACTACTCAAAAAAACAGTGGAAGTCCGAGCTGTCCAAGGTGGTGGTGTTTATTGAGACCGTGGGCTTCATCCTCCCACTGCTGGTGAACGTCTTCTGCTCAATCAGCGTGCTACGGACCCTTAGGAAACCTCAGACCATCAGCCGTGGTGGGAACCTCAACAAGACAAAGATCTTGAGGATGGTCGTCGTGCACGTGCTCATCTTCTGCTTCTGCTTCATTCCCTACAATGTTAATCTAATATTCTACGCCATGGTTCGCTCCAACGTGCTAAAGGGCTGCTATGCAGAATACGTGGTCAGAACCATCTACCCCATTGCTCTGTGCATAGCAGTGACCAACTGTTGCTTTGATCCAGTCATTTACTACTTCACCTCAGAGACGATTCAGAGCTCCATCAAACGAAAGGCTACAGTGTTGCACAACGGTGCCAAGTTTTTCGACAGACTACAGCTGGATAGCTCGAATAGCAGCTCGAATACAACACCCAAAAGCACGACCCTGAGGAGTATAAGAGCCAAACAGTTTGACGATGAGTCCACAGTCTAATGACAAGGCTACTGACTAATAATAAAGAGACGACGGATGGTAAAGCTTGATTTGAATCACGCAAACAAAATGGTTACTAAGGAGCCACTCCCATCCACCGCACACAGCAGAGACTTTAGACTGGGACTTAACTCACTGATCCCTATTCAGTCAGTGGAAGAGTGGAACAAGACAAAGAGAAGGAATTTGAATTAAAGTGTGTTGCTGCATAATTATTGTTGTTTTTTAAGGCCACAACAAAGTTAGAAAACTCTTCAATGAGTTTAGAGCGTGCATTAGTGAAAATGGCAGGTGGTGCTTCAAATATGTCTCAACTTTTGCACAAAAGACGTTGTATTTGTAATTTTATTCCCGAGAGCTAACTCTCCTTTGGAACATGTACCTTTGACAACACTGAACCAGTATTAATGTACTGTACTGTGCAGTTTCTAAGTGTTATTTGTGGCCGCATTAAGGCTTTTAAGCACTTTCTCGAGCAGCATGTTCTATAACAGCTTTTACTCGTATACTGGAAGTGAATAAAAATGTTGATAATTTTTTAAGGTTCGAGTATGAAATGTGCTACGTGTTTGATTGAGTGGGGTGTTGTGTAATGTGTGGCAATAGAAGGCTATCAGTTGTTCGAATGCGACTCTGATTGGGTGCCACCGAATTATTTGTCTAGACCGATTAGTCATACGGGTGCTGTGGTCGGACCATGAATGCACAGTAAGGCCACGCTAAATTGTACACTGCAGGTGTGGTCACCACATGACAGCTACACTGCTAGTGGCCACAGGACTGATCCTTTCTATAGAAAATTTAGGGTGGGTTAAGCATGTCAAGACGTTTTACCTGCCCTACTGCATTTTTGCAAATACAACAAAACTTCAGCCTGTAGAAATAATATTGTATACACACCATAGATTTTGGAAGTTACTAAAATTGAATAGAAATAGAAAACGTAGTCAGGCTGTGTGTAAACGTATCTTAGTCAGGCTGACTGAATGTGAAAACAGCTCACAGTGCAAACGAAATACGACGGAACTTGATTGCATGTGGAATATGTGTTACTTCTTGTCAAAGCTGTGTGCTGCAAGACCGAGCACTGCTGCATTCCTGCTGAGAGGCTTAGCCTTAGGGTCTGCACTGGCAGGGGCAGACTCATCTCCACCACAGCACTGATGGGAGCAAAGCAGGCGAGCAACAACACGCCTCTTGTGGGAGAAGAACGTTTACAGAGTAGAACACAGAGGTGGTTGCTGCCGTTGTGACACAGAAGTTTTTTGCCATGAGATCATGATTTATCCATCTGGCTTAAATAACAGCACTAAAAACCCGACCTCGATTATACAGATCATATATAAAAGGCTACATATCATTAACAATTATATTGTGACTTGGGTAAAAATAATTTAAATAAAAAACAATAAAACTGTATGCACAACAAATGAATTAAATAGATGTAAAGTAGACAACAGGTGAATTAATGCTTTTATTAGGTACAAAGACTATATGCATAGCTATGGAAAGAACTGTTTTGACTTCATTTAGACTGATTAAGACAAATTTTAGATCAAATTTTCTCAGATGTAGACCTGGTCTGACATCTACACAGACTTTCCTGAAAGTGCAAGATCTCAGATAAGGCTGAGACACAAGATACATAACTGTACGATTGCATCACCTTCTGTCAGTGAATTACCGTTAATTCTCTATCAGCTAGATAGTTAATGATCAACTCCAATCACTCGTGTCGGTTTTGAAACAAGAAGTCGTAAACACGACGCCCACGACGAAGGTAATAAAGCCATCTGCACTTCTTCTTCAATTCTAAGGCTGATTATAAATTTTGATTCTATAAATGTCAACATCCATCAACCCTCAAGCTAAATTAGAGACCAAAAGTTAATTAAATGTTAGGTCGCAATAAGCCTAAGTGTGTGAAGGAGAGGGAAGAGGGGGGACAGAGGAGGAGAAAGGGGGAGAGAGACCTTGACCTGAGTGTAGGCGTGAACTTCTTCGTGCATTGCATGTGCTGTGCATTGTTCGAGCATCCTAACAGGTTGTCCTGCTGCTCAGCACCATCCGACTGGCAAAAGAACTTTATCACACCGTCACTGCATTGATCCTGGCACTGGTGAGTGATTGAGCTTTCTGTTTCAGTGTTCTCTGTTGTGCATAGTTGTTCTCATACAGTATACATGGGTTAAGAAAGATAACTCTTTTTTTTTTTTTTTTTTTTTACCGTACCAGCTGATCAGGAATTTGTAGAAACTTTAAATGGAATCTGGAATCACAGAACTGCTTTAAATGTGATATTTTACTTGGCATTGACAGTTAAAGAACCAAATAAAGGCAAAATATGTGCTGTGATGAGTTTTACAGTCAGTGGCAAAACTGCTGCACACTTTGCAACTCTTGATCAACTTCTATTTAACAGGTATATATATACACACTTGGTGTTAGTTATAAAGTAATTAATTAATAATTACTAGGGAATATCTGTTAGTAAAGCATCAAAACACACAACTGCAGCCATTTATTATTATATGTCTGAAAAGAATAATAGGTCTGAGCTGTAACAAAATATTCTATAGTTACATTTATAGAATCACAACTTGGCTATAAAGATACGGGGTTAGAAGTAATAATAATAATAACAATAAAAAATAGATTGTCTTTAAAATAATGCTACTGCTAATGATAACTTGTCACCTGAGATGCTACATAAATGCTAACTGAAGGAGATGAAATACTGTAGTGATAATTAGCAAATTTTATTTATTGTTTAAAATTGTGTTAAGAAATTAGTGTGAGCTCTCTTTTATTGCTCAGTCAGTGGTACTGTAGAAACTGGTACATGTGATGATGATTGAGACTTTTTTGTTTTTCATCAAACACTAGTAAGAAAGCTCAGATATCAGAGCTTCTATAACACTGATGGAAAGATGGTTCACTGGATATTTGCTTACATACTACAACCTTGGTTAAATTAACACCTCTGGTAATTTCAACGCAAGATTAGCTTTACAAGGTTAACAAAATGTGTGTTTAATGTGTAAATAGTATTACATCGGGAGGTGTTTCTTTGGCTCCCACTCTACATTTAATGAAACCAAATGTTTGCCTGTTTTACGAGAGCAGGAAGCCGCACTTAAAGTTTCACTGGCAAAATTCATCTGTCTGTCTTCCACATCAAACATTAATTCAGCTTTGTCTGTCACGGTAGTGTATTCATGTCTCTAAAGCAAATTTACAGTCTATAAAACACCAAACATTTTGAGTTAATTAAGATTTAACTTGCCACAGGTTTGACTGCGCCACCACAGGTGACCTACTATGTTCCTTGGCTCACTTCAACCAACCTGGTCTCCTCCATCATGAGAACAACAGGCTGATTTAAAGTGTTGGAAATTATTTTGAAATATGGAGCTGTGGAATATGACTGATCAGGCAGCCAAACCAAGCTCAGCTTTGTCTAACTGCACTGTGGATACAAGTTACCGCTTCACCTTCTACCAGGTGTCCTACAGCGTCATCTTCCTGCTGGGGTTGGTCACCAACAGCTTGGCTCTGCGCAGACTGTGTCTGTCCCCCTGCACCATGAACAGCACAGCCATTTACATGGTCAGTCTGTCAACCGCCGACTTGTTTTTTGTGATCTCTCTACCTCTGAGAATCTACTACTACCACCAAAAGGCTCGAGCCTTGTCCTCCAAGACAGGCGACTGGTCCAGTTGGACTCACGGGGCGGCTTTCTGCCAGATCACTTTCATCCTTAAATACATCAGCTTATATGGGGGAATCTTTTTTCTGGTGTGCATTGCTGTGGACCGTTACTTTGCTGTGGTGCACCCCCTGGCATCAACACTCCGTCGTCGGCGTGTTGCACAGGTGGTAAGTGGGGGGATCTGGTGCCTGGTGCTCGGGCTCAGCATGAGTCTGCCTTTGCTGCGCTCAGCAGCCACTCACCAAAGCCAACCCTGTCTGCTGGACCCATCCTCGCAACGCCATCGCACCATCATCCTGGTGGCCCTGGGCTTAGTGCTGGGGTCATTTCTGCTTCCCACTCTGATACTCCTCTACAGCTACTGCAGAGTGCTGAGTGTGCTCAGCCAGTCGAGACACCGCTGCCGTAGCCACCGTCGTGGCCGCCGGCACACCCTCAGGGTTATCTACTGGGTGCTGGGCGTCTTCCTGCTGTGCTTCCTCCCCTACCACGTCAACCTGCTGGGATATACACTCACACACATGGAGCTGCTGCCCCACTGTGGCCTGGCCAAGGTGACCAAGGCTGTGCACCCTGTGGTTCTTTCCTTAGCCAGTTTCAACTGCTGCCTCAACCCACTCATCTACTATTTCTCCAGCAGCCTGGTGCATAGGGAGGTGCCTGCTGGTGGAGGCAGTGGCAGCCACTAACACGCAATGGTTACACAGATTATTTCACACAACTACTGAAAAGACCCTTTGGATAAAATGAATGTAAATAAATGTTATGAGCACAAGACTGTGAACAGTAATACAACTGACCATGCCAACTCCCATTAGAGTATTTTGTTAGCCATACTATGTGAGATTTTATGGTAGTGAAACTGTAAATAACTCTGTGCGTATGTTAAATGTGTAATCTGTGTTATAAGACAGATGTGTGTGTGTTCATTGTAGCACAGCTCCTGAGGAGCAGTGTGGGGTTCAGTGTCATGCAAAGAACACTGTGGCTTGGTTATTCTTCTGCCTGTTTCCTCAGTACAACTTCAAAGTGTTTTTCATTTGTCACATGCCATGAATGTTGAAGTTATGCAAAACCTGTCTTTTTACAAAAAATGCTTTTCAAACAAGATGAAGCAGTTTATATATTGCTCTTATAGGGTATTTATCATATTTCTGAATTGCAGTAATAAGAAACAACTTTTTTTTTACTCTATTGACAGTTTTCTTTGGTCCAATGCTGCTAAAAGTTATATTTACAGTCTGTATCTTTATGTTGTGTATACCTGAATCTTATTAAAATTCTGCAACAATATTAAGAGCATACTCTTGCAGCAGGGGCAGATAAAACTCACCGTCCTCCATGCAATCCTCTCCATGATGAGGTTCTCGCACGTCTCCAGATGTTTGACGATATCTTTGCTCAGCGTGGGCTCAGCCTTGATGAAGCTCTCGATGACTTTGTAGAAGTCAAAGGCGGCGAGGCTGAACACGTCCAGTATCCAGGGGAAACACACATTTGTTTCAGCAGGGTCGCCTCCTCCGTGGTTGTACCCTCCATTTTTGAAACTGCTCTCTATTCAAGAAGAGCAAATAAAATGCTTACAACAATTTGCCCCGCAACATTTTTCTCTATTGCTGATAATTGTAAGATAAGATAATGTAACAACACAAGAAGCAGTGTGTTCTTAATTTACAAGAAAATTAAATAGACAAACCTCCATATGTTGACATGACCACCTCCAAAGCACAGGCCAAAAGTGATTTGTGGAATGTGGAGTCATTCAGAAGTTTACTGGAAAAAAAAAATCACAAGACTGGGCTCATGCAAAAAATACCGCTTCAGCTTCACTGCAAATCAAAACAATACAAATCATGCACGCATTTCCAATGATCAACTGAAGATCAAGTGAATACACACCAATATGGATTCCCCAGTAATTTGATTAAAAAAAATGCAAAGAAGCATACCTGAAATTTTGCACAGACAGCCGCTTCTCTTCCTACAAAATTAAAAAAAAAAACAGATATGTAAATGTAAAGTGTCACCAGAGTGAGTTATTTCCAGTTGACAGATTTTATTTTATCCACTGTGCTGTTATTTAAATAATAAAAGTTAAGATTATTACACTAAGGTGAGCAAGTAAATTATAAAAATGCAACATTTTCTAATAGAGCTGTTGAAAAATTCTGGAAGAAAAGTCAAACAAGTTACTGTACCGATTTCAGCATTGCCTCCATGACTTTGTAATACAGTCTGACACCAAGAGCAAATCTCTGAAAGACGAAAGAAATTGAACTCAGTCATAAAATGATTTGAAGAGACTGTGTGTTGCCATAGTTACTCCGTGTCTTCCTGAGGGGTACTTTATACCTGTCTGCCATACACCACGCAGCGTGGGCCGACTGCCTGACCAAATCTTTGGCTGAACACCTGCCCGAGCGTCTCCAAACGCTTCAGCACATCCTGTGTCGGATCCACAGTACAGTTCTGATGACAGGAAAAAAAAAAAGGATTAAGCAAGGTGTGATTTCATGGGTTGCTTTAATTGGTGGCAAGACTTCTAAAGACCCACTTTGAAATATGTAGCTAGGACAGTAGATGGCTGGTCCCCGCTGGAGGTGAGATCACCCCTCAACAGCTGAATGGATGTCATGGCAGCTCTGATAAGATAATACAAAAATCACAGACAGATACGAACTTAGAACAAAGCAAACAATGGAAAATGCCTAATAAATTACCATAAAGTAAAAGAAATTCCCAAAGCAATATCAAGTGTTTGGTTTTCCATTCACAAGATGCACACATTTAGTAAATATCGACATTGCCATCAATCTGTCAATCCTTTCTGTGTTTGGGCGAGGCTACCCGTGTTGAGTCAAATTAAACCACAGGCTCCACTCCTTGTGGTTTTGTACGTACTATTTTGCAACAACAACTGCTAGATTATCATTATCTTTTCAACTGGGGTACACACAGAAAAAAAAGCTTAAAATAATATGTTGGTTTGCTTATCAGGTCCTGCTTTCTTCCCCTTTTGTTGTCAGTTCGTGATATACTACATCATACAGTTGTCATTTAAACGTTTAGGTAATCCATACTAGGTCTGAATGATGATGCGACTTGAAACAATGCAACTTACAAAATCACATCTACAAATCGTCTGACTGTTGTGGCAATAGTTTTACAAAGACATGCTGTTCTCTTTGAGCAACAGTCACACGTTTGATGGTATCCTTTGGTAATGCTTCATTACATTCAAAACCTGAACAATGAATCCTGAACTCAAACTTGACTTTAAAAAAAATGAGACGACAAATCAAATCACAGCATCTGTCAGAAAATCTACAATTAGATTTTTTCCCCAAATTGTTCATTCCAAACAATAATTGTCATCAGTATTGTCTATTCCTTTTTCTATGTCACTTCTGCGACCCTCAAATACACGAGCAGCCAACAGTGTATACAGTCCACTGTTAACTAAAGCAAACATGACCTCTCGAGATAAGCAATAACTAAAACAATGACGACCAAGTGAGTGACATGTAACTGCTCACCTGATTGGCGTTTGTGGAGGGATGAGTACTCCATCTTCGTCTGGCATGTTCTTCTTTGGTGTTCTCTCCACCTGTGATCTGGATACAGGAGAAGACGACGTAATGCTTTTCTTAAAAAAAAAAATTAAATAACTAATCACCATAAATGAAATAGTGAAGAAAGAAAGAAATTACATCTCGACTTTTGGTGCAAGAACAGTGTCATCTCCGTCAAAAAACAGCCGCCCATCAATGTCTCTGCTCTTGAGGTAGTGCTCTTCATACTGCTGGTCGACGTCATTCACCTGGGGGGAAATTCACACAACAATTATTCAGTGAGGTACCACCACACATTGAATATTAAACACCGCTACTTACATTTTATCACTTTTTGCAACAAACTGAATGTTCTCAATCAAGTCCTATATTTTAAATTTACCTGAATCCAAAAGTGGTAAACCCTAAAAAGTAGAAAAGTCTCAAAAACAAAGGTGCTATATTTTTCCCATTCACAGTAATACATTATTCCTGTATTGTACATGAGCTGTTAGTTATGAACATTATATGTGAAGATAAGCAAATCATTTTTTCCATGACCTACTGTTTAGTAACAATTTCTTTGTTGTACAATGGATAATAATGCATGAGATCTAATTAGTTAAACACATGTTTTGTATGCAAAATCTTAACCTGAAAACTAGATCTGCAGTTAAAGCTGCAGTAGGCAGAACCCTGGAACAGGCCAAAGAAGACACAAAGGAGTGACTATTAACTGGCAAACGGCAAGAACAAGTTTTTCTTCCATTTTTTGTAAAGAGACAGGAAAGCGTTCAGAGAGGATTAGAGTGAAAGGATGTGGTAACGGTGACAAAAAACATTTGTGTGGTTGAACCTTTATTATATCATTGCAGCTCAGGGGAAAAAAAAAAAAAGGCGAGGCCAGCTAAACTCTGATTGGTTGCACGAAACGCCCTTTGCGTGGCAAGAAGAGTCTGCGGTCAGTTTGTAGCTTCATATTACCCGCTTTCATTGACAGTGACTTGGAACTAGTTGCTTTTTGATGGTTAGTCTGAACACAATAACTGTGCACTTTTTAATACTGTTTTACCAGATCGGGGTTGAAAGAGCTGCGATCAACTAAAGTCTCTTATCACAGGCTGGACTTCCTAAAGCTTAAAAAACAAAGCTGAGAGGCGGTGCAGATGTCAAGTTTCCTTTAAGACCACTTCATTGACAATATGCTGCTGAAGCTTTGCCCCATGAGACCAAAAAGTATTGTCCAACCCAGCTTTAAAGACATGAAGTGGTACAATACCTGTGGGGGTTTCTAAACAGTTCTTAACATTTGGTTTTAATTGAATTTGATCACATAAATACACTATAACACTAAGCAAACTTGTAATTATTCTGCACCGCAGACATTTCACGCTACAACACAGAGTCCTTTTTGCACTCATATTTCCATCCATCCATCCATCATCTATACACCGCTTAATCCTCACTAGGGTCGTGGGGGGCTGGAGTCTATCCCAGCTGACTCAGGGTGAAGGCAGGGGACACCCTGGACAGGTCACCAGTCTATCACAGGGCTACACTTAGAAACAGACAACCAAGCACACTCACATTCACACCTACGGACAATTTAGAATCATCAATTAACCTCAACATATTCTTGGACTGTGTGGGAGGAAGACGGAGAACCCAGAGAGAACCCACGTTGCACGGGGAGAACATGCAAACTCCACGTAGAAAGATCCTGGGTGCCTCCACCAGGACGCGAACGGGCGACCTTCTTGCTGCGAGGCAACAGTGCTACAAACTGCGCCACCTTGCAGCCCGCACTCATACTTGACCTATCTAAAGATTGTATGACTGCAACTGAGCCAGAGCCTGTCTATATCTGATCAGATTTAATCCTCGAAAAATTTTCATTTCTAATGAAAAATGTTCTGCGTTGTCAACAACAAGACCAGACAGCCAACAGGCAAAGTCTTTGTCTGTACATCTTCTCTATAATGTAATCTGACCAAAACATTACTGAAAGTGTCATCCATCCATTATCTGTACACCACTTAATCCTCACTAGGGTCGCAGGGGGCTGGAGCCTATCCCAGCTGACTCACATGCACACTCACATTCACACCTACGGACAATTTAGAATCACCAATTAACCT